ATCGCCGATTCCAGTTCGATGTGCTGCCCCCCCGAGAAGGATTGTGAAGGCCTTCCGGCTGGTGCCGCCGACCCAGAAGGACGACGACGACGGCCACGCCGACAACGATAACGACGAGCTGATGTTTGTGCCACAGGCTCGGGACATGGGGCGAGCGGTCGAGGGAGGAGGAGGAGGAGGAGGGGGAGGAGGAGGACCAGTGTAAACCCAAGAGTCATAACCTATGTTGGAATAAACCCACCCTACAAGCTCCCTCTTCCTAGGCCCCTACAACGGTTCATTCCCATTGAGGGAACTGCCTCGTTGGAAGACAGCCGTTTGAAGACCATTAAGAATGCCAAAAGATTGTTCTCGGCGTTCCAACGCCACGGATCAACCTGACTATTGCGTGTTGACGGTCCTGAATCGCGCTAGAACACCATTCCTGGGATTTCAACACAGCGAATCAACGTAATTGTTGTGCCCGCGTAATCCTGAATCATTTCAAAACACCACTTCTGGTACCTTGATGATGGGAATCCGTGAAGCTCTTCCAAATGCTGGGAACGAATGTGCGCGGCGCTAAGGCGAGAACCACATTTTGAAAAGGAGCCGCCCTCGATCTGTGAAGCTTTTGCAAATGTTTAAAAGGACTGTGCGCCGCGCTACGGCGAGAGCCACATTTTGAAAACGACCCGCCCTCACTCCGTGAAGCTCTTGCAAATGTGTAAAACGAATGTGCGCCGCGTTAGGGCGAGAGCCACATTTTGAAAAGGAGCCGCCCTCGATCCGTGAAACTCTTGCACATGTTCAAAGCGAATGTGCGCCGCGCTAAGGCGAGAGCCACATTTTGAAAACGACCCGCCCTCAATCCGTGAAGCTCTTGCATTTTTTAATGAAGAAACGAATGTGCGCCGCTCTAAGGCGAGAGCCACAGTTTGAAAACCACCCGCCCTCAATCCGTGAAGCTCTTGCAAATGTGTAAAAACCTATGTGCGCCGCGCTAAGGAGAGAGGCACAGTTTGAAAACCACCCGCCCTCCATCTGCGAAGCCGTTGCCAATTTTTAATCTTCAGAGTCAGAAGTGGTGAGGAGGTCTCAGGCGAAACGCCCGGCCGGCCCTAACAACTTGCAAACGCCTTGGAGTGCGACAGGGAGAAGTTATTTCTAAGGAAAAGGGATGGAGGAGGAGGAGGAGGAGGAGGAGGGAGAAGGAGAAGGAGGAGGATGAGGAGGAGGAGGAGGAAGAGGAGGAGGAGGAGGAAGAGAAAGAGGAGGAGGAGGAGGAGGAGGAGGAGGAGGAGGAGGGAGAAGGAGAAGGAGGAGGATGAGGAGGAGGAGGAGGAGGAGGAGGAGAGGAGGAGGAGGGAGGAGGAGGAGGATGAGGACGAGGATGAGGAGGAGGAGGAGGACGAGGAGGAGGAGGAGGAGGAAGTTCCCCCCCGAGCAGGTCCCCCCTGTGGATCCCCCCACGCGAGGGCCCCGGTGGCACGCGCCAGCCTTGGCCGCCGAGGCACGCCGCCAGCCCAGGCGCCCTCCAGGGACCGGGGAAGCGCAGATCTGGACTTTCGGGTACGTGGCTCCGCTACAGTGGAGGCCCACGCCAAGAAACATCCTGCTTGCCTCCAGGGTGCCCTGGGCTTCTTGGGCTTCGATGGTTTTGCCGTGGAGAGCGCGACGCTCCCACACCCCAAATCCATAGACGTCCAGGGGTCTCAGGGTTGGGTTCCTTGCGGAAGGGGTCTTGTGGACTGGCCTCCATTGCATGGGTCCCGCTTCCGTGCAGGGTCTCGCTGCCCACCATACGACCCCAGCCCAGCCCGAAGGCCCCAGCTCGCCTTCCACTCCCAGGGGGGGGCACCCAGGAACATCGAGAGCATGCGGATGGAGCCAGTACGCCCCCCGACCCGAAATTTGGGACTTCGGGTGGGGCGGGGAACGAATCTTCATATCAAAAGAATTCTCACCACGTCAAAAGAATTCTGCCTCCTCCTCCTCCTTCTCATTATTCCTCCCCCTCCTCCTCCTTGTCCGCTTCCTCCTCCTCCTCCTCCTCCTCCTCCTCTCATTCCTCCTCTGTTTCCTCCTCCTCCTCCTCATCCTGCTCCTCCTCCTGCTCCTCCTCCTCCTCCTCTTTCTCATCCTCCTTTTCTTCGTATTCCTCCTCATCCTCCACCTCCTGCCCTTGCGATCGTTCTCTACATACACATGCACGTACCCTTACACCTAAGCACACATAAAGATACCCTGACACACACGCACGCACATATTCACAAATGCACACGCATACGCGCATACGCTTTTGCATGAACATCAAAATGAGGAGGCCCGAACGGTCTTACACCATCCGTGAGTGCGCGGCTGAAGTGGGAGCCCGCGGCGCGGATTCTCGTTTGTTTGTTGTTTGTTGTTGCGGGTTATTACTGTTTCTGCTGTTTTTTGTTGTTTTTGCTGTTGTCGCCCCCCGTCCCCGCCCCCCGCGACCCACGACCCGCTCCGCGACCCACCCCGCGACCCACCCGCGACCCACCCGCGACGCAATTTGTTCCGCGGCCCACCCGCGACCCGTAGCGCGCGCTTGATCAGAGGGCCCTTTCGCGCCTTAAGCGATGACCTTACGAAAAAGCATGGGCTTGTGAGAGCGACTGATCCTATTATTAACACGTTTGCACCCACCTGATTTAGGCGCGCTGATCTGATGAACTGCGTTCGTCTTGCGCTCCAGCGTTTTTTTGTACTCCGCCCGCCCCCTTAAGAAAAGGAGCCACCCCCTGAACATGCAGACCAAGAAAACGAGACCCCCCCCCCCCGAGACAAGGGGCGTCTCAAAATCGACCAGGCGTTCGAGAAGCTCCCCCCACGCGATGATGGGGACTACGACGATGTTAACAACAATGGTATTGATAACTGGCTACCCACAGGGGGGGGGGCGGGCGGAGTATGTACAAAAAACGCTGGAGCGCAAGACGAACGCATTTCATCATATCAGCGCGCCTAAATCAGGTGGGTGCAAACGTGTGTTAATAAGAGGATCAGCCGCTCCCACAAGCCCCTGCTTTTTCGTAAGGTCATCGCTTGAGGCGCAAAAGGGCCCTCTGATCAAGCGCGCGCTACGGGTCACGGGTGGGCCGCGGGGCAAATTGTGTCGCGGGTGGGTCGCGGGTGCGTCGCGGGGTGGGTCGCGGAGTGGGTCGTGGGTCGCGGGGGGCGGGGAGGGGGGGCGACAACAACACAAACAACAAAAAACAACACAAGCAAGAATAACCCGCAGCAGCAAACAACAACCAAACGACAATCCGCGCCGCGGACTCCCACTTCAGCCGCGCACTCACGGATGGTGTAAGACCGTTCGGGCCTCCTCATTCTGATGTTCATGCAAAAGCGTATGCGCGTACGCGTGTGCATTTGTGAATATGTGCGTGCATGTGTGTGTGTGTGTGTGTGTGTCAGGGTATCTTTATGCGTGCTTAGGTGTAAGGGTACGTGTATGTGTATGTAGAGAACGATAGCAAGGGGAGGAGGTGGAGGACGAGGAGGAATACGAAGAAAAGGATGATGAGAAAGAGGAGGAGGAGGAGGAGGAGCAGGAGGAGGAGCAGGAAGGAGAGGAGGAATGAGAGGAGGAGGAGGAGGAGGGGGAGGAGGAGGAGGAGGAGGAAGCGGACAAGGAGGAGGAGGGGGAGGAATAATGAGAAGGAGGAGGTGGAGGTATAATTCTTTTGACGTGGTGAGAGTTCTTTTGAAATGAATATTCGTTGGGGGTGGCCTGGTAGAAAATCTTGGGTCGGGCGTGTCCCTCTATAGGAGACATGTTCCAAAACAGTCCAGAAATTGTCTGGGGACGAACTTGTGGAGTACTAGTTTGAATATTTTTTTGGATTATGCTTGACTTTTTCGAAGTCCGCCTCTAGGGGGACATGCCCGACCTAATGGTAGGTAGTCATGATCGGCTCGCTCCGTCGCCAGATCGGGCGGCACTGGCCTCGGGCTTCGAGGGGCGCCTCCCCGATCTGTAGATCTGGCGCCCACTTGCCAGGACTGCGGGTTCGTAGTGCATAGCGTGTACCCAAGGGAGTAGGGGGCGCGGTGGGCGGAGGGTTCGGTGGTGGTGGTGGTGTCATCGCAGAGAGTATGAACACGAATGTTAAGAAGAAGACGATTCATACGAATGAGCATGTCAAGGAGACTGCGAACAGTACGGATAGTGCTAAGGCTAGCACTACGCAGGATCATACCAGGACAGACAGTAAGCATACATACATGTGTCAATGATAAGCAGAAGAAGCGGCATACGTGTAGATCTTCGAAGGTCCGCGCGGATCTTTTGGATCCGCGCTGGACCCTCCTGGCGGCGCCTCTTGTGCGGCTCCTGGCAGGCTTCGCGCGCCCGGGAGGGGAGTCCAGCCCCGATTCAGGCATGGCTGCAGGAGAGTGGCCCCCCGTGGCGCCGAGGCGGAGGAGGAGGAGGAGGGAGGAGGAGGAGGAGGAGGAGAAGGTGCAGGAGGAGGAGGAGGAGGAGGTGGAGGAGGAGGTGCAGGAGGAGGAGGAGGGAGGAGGAGGAGGAGGAGGAGGAGGAGGAGGAGGACCACGTGGAGGCCGCTGGCGAGTGCCGCTGCAGGCCTGGAGGCCGCGGGTACTTGCGCCGCGGGCGCCTGCTGCGGTGCACGCCGCCAGATCTCGGTGGGGCTGGACGCTTCTGGCCCTCTTCGGGCCCCCCGGGACTTCGAGTCTAGGCCTCCTAGATGGGGTCGGAGTAGATGGGGTCGGAGGATCGCGCCGCATCGCCGATGTATCGACGATGCGTCTCGATGCGGAGCCCGATGTGCTTCACGTCTACGTCGCCATTGCATCGCCGACGTCGTCGATGCATCGCCAGTGCATCGCCGCTGCATCGCCGATGCATCGCCGATGCGACGCGATCCTCCGACCCCATCTACTCCGACCTCATCTAGGAGGCCTCCATCGAGGACCTCCGCAGAGGCTCAGAGCGGCCCAAACGGGGGTTTCGAACAAAGCCGGGGATCGGCACGCCCGAGAGAACTGCAGCGGTGGATTGTCCATTGTCTGTTCTTCTCTCCGGGTGGAGCCGTCAAAGTCAGCAGCGTCCGGGCGTTGGGGGGGTCCCGGAGAGGCCTCCGCGGAGGCCTTCTGGGACCTCTTGCGGCTTCCGGCCGGTCTGGGACCTCCGCAAGTGGGGTCAGAGGGTCGCGCCGCATCGCCGATGCATCGGCGATGCGGCCCGACCCTCGCAGCCTCAGCGAGTCCAGTCCCCCACTTGGGCAGGGCCGCCCACGATCCGATTCGATGCGATTCGATTCGCCGGCTGGGGCCGCGATTCCAATTCGATGCGATCCGGCTCTATTCACCGGCACCGGCCAGGGCCAGCCGGAAGCGGGGCGCAGCGATTCGATGCCGGTCCGATTCGGGACGATTCGCTGGCGATTCGATCTGCTCGCGATCCGATCCGATTCCGCGATCCGATCCATCGCAGACCTGTCGGGCGGCCTCCAGCCGACGGGAAGTCCCAGAGCGGCGCGGCGGCCACGCCCGTCGTGCGCGAGTCGGTGCAAGCTCGGGGTGAGCGCACGGTCCCGGGGCCTGGTGTCGGGGTTGGAAGGAGGAGGAGGTGGAGGAGGAGGAGGAGGAGGAGGGGGAGGAGGAGCAGGAGGAGGAGGAGGAGAAGGAGGAGGAGGATGAGGAGGAGGAGAAGGAGGAGGTGGAGGAGGAGGAAGCGGTGCGGCGGCCATGCCCGTCGTGCGCGAGGCGGTGCGTCCGCTCGGGGTGGGCGCGCGCTCCCCAGGGCCGGGGCCGTGCTCTGAGGCAGTGCCTCTCGGGAGGCGGGGGCTTCCACAGGGTCCCCCCGAAGCGTGCGGCGAGGCACTCTGGGCGTGCCGGCGCAAAGCGAGCCGTCTGTCACCACACCGCTGTCCGCCGAGGAAGAGGAATAGCAGCAATACATAATAATTATTATAATCATAATAATAACGATAATAACAATACTAATACTTATGATAAGAAGATTCACAATAATAATTCCAAGAATAATGATAACGGTCGTACTAATATTTAATTCCAGTACTACTCGTACCACTAACGATAATAATGCGTGACATTAGCATATACTTTTGGAGCTCCGCGCGGATGTCTTGGATCTGCACGGGCTCGCGCGCGGAGCGCGCCAGGGGCGGCGCCGGAGGCGCCGCCAGGGGCGCCCAGCGCCGATCCAAGAACTCCGCGCGGAGCTCCAACAGTCTACATGTTTTAGCCGTCTTTTTTTTCCCCCTCTATGGCTTCCCAAGTCGACCGGGTCGCCGAGCGCTCCCCGCGGCCTGCGGAGCCGCGCGCGCCCGTGCCGAGGCGGGCTGCGCTTCGGGCGCGCCGTGCACCTGCAGGCAATCGACCTGGCGCAGCCTCGCCACGGCAGCGCTCCGGCCGCCACCCATCGGCGCGGGCCCGCGCCCCCTCGCCCCCCCCCCCCCCCAATGGAGTAGATCTTGGTAGTTTTTTGGCGCTTGTTTCAGGCAGGTGGAGTCCCCCCCATAGGACGCACTGTTGCAGACAGTCACGATATCGGCGGAGGTCCCGAGTCATAATCCCCCCCCCTCCCCCCCACCTTCCGCCCAATGGCGAAACGCCGAACGAAAACACGTTCTCGAGGCGGGGATTTATACAGGACCACCGCCTGGACGATCGATTCTCGCGGACCTCCACGGGCGGTGGGTGTGTATATATGTTGCCCCAGGGGCCAATTCACATGTGTATGTATATATATATATATATATGATTGTCACTTGGGTCCCCAGGACGTCGGTTCCCAGGCGGTGAATATGGATGAATCCCCGCCTCGCACTCTCCCTCCCTTTCCCTGCCTCGCCCCCCTCATTGTTTAGTCTTCGGGTGGCGCACAGACAGCCCGCCCAGGTAGTCCCAGCAGGCCTCAACCAGCCCCCCGAGTAGTCCTGGCTGGCCTCACAAGGCCCCGCGAGTCGTCCTGGGCGGTCTCAACATCCTGGCGCAGCCTCCGGCGCGCCGGGGGCGCTCCGCGCCCCAGGGTTGAGATTTTGAGACCGCCCCGGACTACTCGACAGAGGAGACTGGTATATGGTATGGGGGGGGGCGCGGCTCCTGGTTGCCGCCGCTTCCCTCTGCTGTGCCCTCTGCCCTTTGTCTTGTCCTTCCCTCGAAGAAGAAGCAACGCCATAAACATAAACTTTTGGCGCTCCGCGCAGGTCTCTTGGATCGGCGCCTGGGCCCCCCTGGCGGCGCCTCTGGCGCCGCCCCTGGCGCGCTTCGCGCACCAGGGAGGGGGGTCCAGCGCAGATCCAAGAACTCCGCGCGGAGCGCCAACAGTTTATGCTTATGCCGGTTTTTCCTCCTTCTATTCCTGCTTCCCTTGCCCCTCCTCCGTTCGTCATTTGCACCGAATCTTGAATATGTTGCAGCGTGTTCCCGGTCCTCTCAGAGGGCCAGCGCGCCTCCAGCGTGCCCGTCGTTCAGCACTGGGCCGCCTCCTGGCGATGACGGTCGTCCGTCCATTCGTCCGTTCGCCCCCCTGATGTTCGGCGGCGAGCCAGGGGGGGGAGTGAGAAGGGGCGGGCCTTCTCAGAAGGCTCGGAAGTCCCCTGGCCTTCTGAGAAGTCTTCTAAGCCTGCCCGGAAGACACAAAAAGCCTCTCAGAAGGCGCGAGGGCTTCTGAGAAGTCCCACCGCCTTCTGGGAAGGCCTTCTCCTTCTCACTTCCCCCCCTCGCTCGCCGCCGAGATGTGCACGTAATCCAGTCCAGCTCCAGCACCCCTGTGGGGCGCCAGGGCCAGTTGCAGCCTCTGGCCCTTCTCGTGCCACAGCTCCTGCCCGAGGCCTCATTGCGCCAACTTCGCAGAGCAGAGTTCGATCGGAAAGAGAAGGAAGAGCCCGGGATCTTCTTCTGAATGTCGTTTTTCGGATGTTGTTGTGAATTTCGAGCGGCGTTGCTTGGTCGGGGCATGAGACAACAAATCCATGTGAAACCCATGGCGTTATCCGCTCGCCGTTCTGGGGTATGTTTCATTTGCGGGAGTCCACGTGGATTTTCGCTGTAGCCCGTCTGCAGGCCACAGCGCTTGCCCGAGGCCCCGCTGGCCCTGGGGGGCCGCCCGCGAGCGCTGCCGCCACGGGGCTCAGCGAATCGCTTCGCCCGGCCCCGCGCGCCCCGCACGGCCGCTGGCAGGTTGCCCCCCAGCAGCCTTCCCCTGCCCAGGAGGGAACGATAGACACAGACGCGAAAGGCGCCCGCCTTCGAGGATCGAAGGAGATGTCATCTCTTCCTCGTCGGACGGCGGCGGAAGTAAAACGAGGCCGCCTCCGCCAGCGGAAGCCGGCGGAAGGCTGGCGGAAGTAAAAGATGCGCCCCCAAGAGACGACAACATGTTTGGGTTTAGGGTTTCCGGAATTGGCCATGTATAGTTCCGAGGGCATATAGGAAGAGATATGGGACATGTCGGGGCAGAGGCAAGTCCAGAAGATCTGAACAGATGTTTGGAATCCTGAGACTTGTGCGTATTGGTTTGTGTCTTCCTGGGCCCTTTTTTCCTTCACTAGTCATCAAACCACCCCAATCCAACCCGAAAGCCCCAATTTGCCTTCCATTCCCCCTGAGAGGGGCGTCGGGGAACATTGAAAACGCACTTGTGCAACCCGTACACCCGCCCCAAACCCAACATGTGGGCCTTCTGAATGGGTTGGGGTGGCCTGGTGGGCAGTCATTCCTTGCCCATGATGCCTGGCTCCATCAGCCGTGGGCTGCGCCAGCCCTGGTTGCCGCCTCTCTGGGCCCTCGTGGAGCCGCTGTCCGGCTCCAGCGGCCCTCGGCGGCGCCCGCGCCCGTGGCCACCACTGTCCGCTGCCACGTCCCTGCCCGGGCCCCACTGCCCCTGAAGGGGGCCCATCATGTCGGGCGTGTCCCTCTACAGGAGGAGCGTTCACAAGAATAGTGCAAAATAGTCGGGGGACTTTTTAATGTAATAACTTAAAATCTAATTTTGGGGGTATTTTTGTCGTCCAAAATGCGCCTGCAGGGGGACATGCCCGACCTAACGCAGCACTCCCTGGCCTCTGCATACGTGCGGACCGATTGAAATCGCAGAAGGGATGCCGCGGTCGGCCTTTTGGGGGAACGCGCCGATGTTGGTTGGCCAGATCGGGGGCCCCCGTGGGGCTCCCAACCCTTGTGTTCCCCGTTCTCCGCCCATCCAAGCCACGTTCACGCCCGTGCGCACATGTGTAGACCCGCCAATCCGCACCAGTGGCGCCATGGCCCATGTCCGCCACTTGCGCAGTATCTCACGCAGAACCAGGGGACTCCACTGGTGCGACTTCTGGTCACCGCATGAGACGTCTGCCCACTGTGAGTGCTGCGGGGATGGGACCTGTGCGACCAGGGAAGACAGCCGCCAGAACGACCAAAGGTATCGCAGCCAGCATTGGGGGACGCAGGGTGTAATCTAGTTTCGGATGTGGCGAACAGTGGTGCGTTCTCCCAGATGTATCCTGCTGCCTCTGGTCCAAGCGCGCCCCTCCCCACGGTGCCACATCCCTAGCAGCCCAAGCACTCCAGAGTCTGCGCAGGTTGGTCACGTGGACGCTATCGTTTTGGGAGGTTCTTGGAGCGTTTGCGCAGGTTCTCGTCGCCACGGTTTGGACTCAGGTTGAAGATTTGTCCAGGCGGACCCCAGGAAACAGGGACAGAGTTTTGTTGGTTTTGGGTCCAGCGGAGGAGGAGAAGGAAAGGGAGAAGGAGGAGGAGAAGGACGGGGAGGAGAAGGAGGAGGATGAGGCGGAGGAGGGGTTCGTTGGGTTCTTCGTGGACGTTGTCGTTCGGGAGTTTTTTCCCAACCATCCTTTTGGGCTCGTCTCTGGATAGACCACCTATTTGTTCTTAACGCTAGAGGCTTTGCTCTCCGTTTTTAACTTTTCGTGTGGCGGTCGACCAAAACAGAACTCACAACGGAAACCCCAAACAGAACAAACACGACTCCCGCCGGGCCCAACACGAGCGGAAAACGGCAACCCAAATCAGGTTGGTAACCCTCTGCAGAAAACACTTAGCAGAGGCGGAACACGGGAAACAAACCAGCAGTTGCAACAGTTAGCAGAAACGGACCACACAACGAACCAAACACGGCGAGATTGCAATCCCAAAGCATAACAAAAACAGCGTCGATGAAGAAAACGCCCTCCCTCCAGCGTTTTAAATGACATCTCCGATAGAGCATCGCGCGCGCGTCTCTCCTCCTCCTCCTCGCCTCTGCCTTTCCTCCTCCTCCTCCTCCTCCTCCTCCTCCTCCTCCTTTTTCTCTTCCTCCTCCTGATCCTCCTCCTGATCCTCCTCCTCCTCCTTCCTGCCTGGCCTGTCGCTGGGCAGCCGCGAGGGTGTGCAGCTGCCGCCGCTCTCGAGGGCCGCCCGGGGTCCAGCGGAGTGGCGCCCCGCGCAGCTCCGGGCGGGGCCCCGGCCTCCCTCGGGCCTCCTCTTCTTCCTGAGCGCGCGATGCGCGGGCCCCCCCCCACCCCAAAAGACATCCCAAAAGGCGTTCCTCCTCACCGCGCAGCCGTCGCCACTCGTGGGATCCAGGGAGGTCCAGCGGAGCGGTGTCGGTCACCGGGCGCGTCCCACGACTCGCAGAGTGCCTACTCCAACGTACTGAAAGAATCAAGGCGGAGGTTTTTCGCAAGTTTCGGCCCCCAGGGGTCCTCGCCGGCCCTCGGGACCGTCCAAAAACGACTCAGGATGAAAAACCGGTCTTGGGAAATGGGTCGAGACTTCCGGGGACCCCGTATTGAAACATCACGACATCGGATCTCGCAGACGTCCGAGAAGCGAATGGTCCGCTTCGATTTGAGAGGGATCGCAGATCCCCCTCGGCGGATCCAGGCCATCTGCGAGCAGTTGCCGTGCGGCTGTCGTGGAGCGCGCTCGTCCAGTCAGGAAGGAGGCCGAGCCGCCGGCAGTGTGCAGCTCGGCCTCGCTCAGAACACTTGCGCTGGCTATGAGGTCGGCCGTTCTGTGCGCGCTTCCGCGGCACCCGAGAGATCGTTTCTCTTTTGCCTCCTCTGATGGGTTCGTTTTTCACCACCACCATACGTTGCAGGGGGGAAGGAGGAGGACGAAGAATAGGAGGACGAATAGGAGGAGGGGGAGGAGGAGGAGGAGGAGGAGGAGGAGGAGGAGGAGGAGGAGGAGGAGAAGGACCCCCTCCCCCTTCAACTTATGGTGCTGGTGGTGGTGGTGGTGGTGGAAAGCAGGCCCATCCTCCTCCTTCCTCCCTTGACGTCCTTGCCGTATTTGCTTCCCCCTTCATCGTCTGCCTCCGCTCCGCCCCCGCCTCCTCCCCTCCCTGGGCCCGGGCCTTGCCGTCCGCTCCGCCTTGGCCCTCCTGTTCGGTGTCCTGTGAGTCCCGCCGCGCGTTCGCCTCACATGTGTGGTCTTCCCCGACAAACAAGGAAACCAAGTAAAACAACAAATGTGTTTACATACATCTAATACAGTATACAGACATGTTTGTACATATATACACATATACATGTATAAACATGTGGCTTCCTCGACAGATGGCGGTCCGTGCCGCTGCATCAGCCGTGACGACTCTGGCCAGCTGTCTTCCCAGTTGTTCTAGGGTGGGGTGCATCGCAGGGCCATTGAGCGTTTTTCCCCACATGTTTCGTGGGGTTCTGTTTTTTTCCCTGCCGCGCCGCACCCGCGTCTCACACCTCCCCGGGCGGGTGTGCAGGGGGGTGGTCTCTGAGCTCGGCAGGCGTGGCATTTCCTCGACGCCACAGGGGGTGCGCTGGGGGTGGGGGCCCTATGCGCCGCAGGCTCCCAGGGCGTGGCAGGCGTGGCATTTCCTCGACGCCACAGGGGCTGCGCTGGGGGTGGGGGCCCTATGCGCTGCAGGCTCCCAGGTCGTGGCGGGCGTGGCATTTCCTCGACGCCACAGGGGGTGCGCTGGGGGTGGGGGCCCACCGCGGTTTCTATACGCGCCAATGTCGCAGGGCCTAGCAGGAGTGGCATTTCCTCGACGCCACAGGGGGTGCGCTGGGGGTGGGGGCCCACCGCGGTCTCTATACGCGCCAATGTCGGAGGGCCTAGCAGGCGTGGCACTTTCTCGACACCGGATGGGTGCGTTGCAAGCTCCCCGGGCGTGGCAGGCGTGGCATTTCTTCGACGCCACAGGGGGTGCGCTGGGGGTGGGGGCCCTGTGCGTTGCAGGCTCCCAGGGCGTGGCAGGCGTGGCATTGCCTCGCCGCCACAGGGGGTGCGCTGGGGGTGGGGGCCCCATGCGCTGCAGGCTCCCAGGGCGTGGCAGGCGTGGCATTTCCTCGACGCCACAGGGGCTGCGCTGGGGGTGGGAATTCGTATCATGTCAAGAACTGTAAACACCTTGGCTCGAGCCGGCTCGGCGCGCTTGCGCTCTCACGCAGGCGCGTTCCTGTAGTCCTACTTCAGAGCACCGCCCGACCTGCGCGGCAGCCATGCCTCCCAAAATCGCC